AAATAGTAATTCATTTTGAGAAAGGTAAAATTACATTATTTCTTCCTTCCTGAATTGGATTAAATAGCATAGCATGCACGACAATCTGGCCTTTTTGTTGCCAGACAGATAAGGAGGAAGACAACTTTAATTCAAAATAGTAATTCATTTTGAGAAAGGTAAAATTACATTATTTCTTCCTTCCTGAATTGGATTAAATAGCATAGCATGCACGACAATCTGGCCTTTTGTTGCCAGCCAGATAAGGAGGAAGACAACTTTTAATTCAAAATAGTAATTCATTTTGAGAAAGGTAAAATTACATTATTTCTTCCTTCCTGAATTGGATTAAATAGCATAGCATGCACGACAATAAGGAGGCTTTAATTTTAGTAATTCATTTTGAGAAAGGCCTTTTCCAGATAAGGAGGAAGACAACTTTTAATTCAAAATAGTAATTCATTTTGAGAAAGGTAAAATTACATTATTTCTTCTTTCCTGAATTGGATTAAATAGCATAGCATGCACGACAATCTGGCCTTTTTGTTGCCAGCCAGATATGGGAGGAAGACAACTTTTAATTTTAATTTTGAGAAAGGTAAAAAATAGTGAATTCATTTTGAGAAAGGTGTAAAAAATTACATTATTTCTTCCTTCCTGAATTGGATTAAATAGCATAGCATGCACGACAATCTGGCCTTTTGTTGCCAGCCAGATAAGGAGGAAGACAACTTTTAATTCAAAATAGTAATTCATTTTGAGAAAGGTAAAATTACATTATTTCTTCTTTCCTGAATTGGATTAAATAGCATAGCATGCACGACAATCTGGCCTTTTGTTGCCAGCCAGATAAGGAGGAAGACAACTTTTAATTTAAAATAGTAATTCATTTTGAGAAAGGTAAAATTACATTATTTCTTCTTTCCTGAATTGGATTAAATAGCATAGCATGCACGACAATCTGGCCTTTTTGTTGCCAGCCAGATAAGGAGGAAGACAACTTTTAATTCAAAATAGTAATTCATTTGAGAAAGGTAAAATTACATTATTTCTTTTCCTGAATTGGATTAAATATTTTAATTTAAAAATTAATTCATTTTGAGAAAGGTAAAATTACATTATTTCTTCTTTCCTGAATTGGATTAAAAATAGCAATTACAATCTGGCCTTTTGTTGCCAGCCAGATAAGGAGGAAGACAACTTTAATTCAAAATAGTAATTCATTTTGAGAAGGTAAAATTACATTATTTCTTCTTTCCTGAATTGGATTAAATAGCATAGCATGCACGACAATCTGGCCTTTTGTTGCCAGCCAGATAAGGAGGAAGACAACTTTTAATTCAAAATAGTAATTCATTTTGAGAAAGGTAAAATTACATTATTTCTTCTTTCCTGAATTGGATTAAATAGCATAGCATGCACGACAATCTGGCCTTTTGTTGCCAGCCAGATAAGGAGGAAGACAACTTTTTTAATTCAAAATAGTAATTCATTTTGAGAAAGGTAAAATTACATTATTTCTTCCTTCCTGAATTGGATTAAATAGCATAGCATGCACGACAATCTGGCCTTTTTGTTGCCAGCCAGATAAGGAGGAAGACAACTTTTAATTCAAAATAGTAATTCATTTTGAGAAAGGTAAAATTACTGAATTGGATTATTTCTTCCTTCCTGAATTGGATTAAATAGCATAGCAGCATGCACGACAATCTGGCTTTTTGTTGCCAGCCAGATAAGGAGGAAGACAATTTTTTTAATTTAAAATAGTAATTCATCTGGCCTTTTTTGAGAAAGGTAAAATTACATTATTTCTTCCTTCCTGAATTGGATTAAATAGCATAGCATGCACGACAATCTGGCCTTTTGTTGCCAGCCAGATAAGGAGGAAGACAACTTTTAATTCAAAATAGTAATTCATTTTGAGAAAGGTAAAATTACATTATTTCTTCCTTCCTGAATTGGATTAAATAGCATAGCATGCACGACAATCTGGCCTTTTGTTGCCAGCCAGATAAGGAGGAAGACAACTTTTAATTCAAAATAGTAATTCATTTTGAGAAAGGTAAAATTACATTATTTCTTCCTTCCTGAATTGGATTAAATAGCATAGCATGCACGACAATCTGGCCTTTTTGTTGCCAGCCAGATAAGGAGGAAGACAACTTTTAATTCAAAATAGTAATTCATTTTGAGAAAGGTAAAATTACATTATTTCTTCCTTCCTGAATTGGATTAAATAAATAGCAAATGCACGACAATCTGGCCTTTTTGTTGCCAGCCAGATAAGGAGGAAGACAACTTTTAATTTAAAATAGTAATTCATTTTTGAGAAAGGTAAAATTACATTTTTTCCTTCCTGAATTGGATTAAATAGCATAGCATGCACGACAATCTGGCCTTTTTTTTGTTGCCAGCCAGATAAGGAGGAAGACAACTTTTAATTCAAAATAGTAATTCATTTTGAGAAAGGTAAAATTACATTATTTCTTCCTTCCTGAATTGGATTAAATAGCATAGCATGCACGACAATCTGGCCTTTTGTTGCCAGCCAGATAAGGAGGAAGACAACTTTTAATTCAAAATAGTAATTCATTTTTTGAAAAGTAAAAATTACATTATTTCTTCCTTCCTGAATTGGATTAAATAATCTGGCCTTTTTTTGTTGCATAGCATGCACGACAATCTGGCCTTTTTGTTGCCAGCCAGATAAGGAGGAAGACAACTTTTAATTCAAAATAGTAATTCATTTTTTGAAAGGTAAAATTACATTATTTCTTCCTTCCTGAATTGGATTAAATAGCATAGCATGCACGACAATCTGGCCTTTTTTTGCCAGCCAGATAAGGAGGAAGACAACTTTTAATTCAAAATAGTAATTCATTTTGAGAAAGGTAAAATTACATTATTTCTTCCTTCCTGAATTGGATTAAATAGCATAGCATGCACGACAATCTGGCCTTTTTTTAGCCAGATAAGGAGGAAGACAACTTTAATTCAAAATTAATTCATTTTGTGAAAGGTAAAATTACATTATTTCTTCCTTTTCCTGAATTGGATTAAATAGCATAAGCAGGCATGACTAATCATTTTGGCCTTCCTTTTTGTTGCCAGCCAGATAAGGAGGAAGACAACTTTTAATTCAAAATAGTAATTCATTTTGAGAAAGGTAAAATTACATTATTTCTTCCTTCCTGAATTGGATTAAATAGCATAGCATGCACGACAATCTGGCCATTTTTTTGCCAGCCAGATAAGGAGGAAGACAACTTTTAATTTAAAATAGTAATTCATTTTGAGAAAGGTAAAATTACATTATTTCTTCCTTCCTGAATTGGATTAAATAGCATAGCATGCACGACAATCTGGACAGATAAGGAGGAAGACAACTTTTAATTCAAAATAGTAATTCATTTTCTGGCCTTTTTGAATTTGCCAGCCAGATAAGGAGGAAGACAACTTTTAATTTCAAATAGTAATTCATTCATTTTTGAGAATTTTGTGAAAGGTAAAATTACATTATTTCTTCTTTCCTGAATTGGATTAAATAGCATGATCTGGCCTTTTGGAAGTAAAATAGTAATTCATTTTGAGAAAGGTAAAATTACATTTTCTTCCTTCCTGAATTGGATTAAATAGCATAGCATGCACGACAATCTGGCCTTTTGTTGCCAGCCAGATAAGGAGGAAGACAACTTTTAATTTAAAATAGTAATTCATTTTGAGAAAGGTAAAATTACATTATTTCTTCCTTCCTGAATTGGATTAAATAGCATAGCATGCACGACAATCTGGCCTTTTTGTTGCCAGCCAGATAAGGAGGAAGACAACTTTTAATTCAAAATAGTAATTCATTTTGAGAAAGGTAAAATTACATTATTTCTTCCTTCCTGAATTGGATTAAATAGCATAGCATGCACGACTCTTTGGCCTTTTTGTTGCCAGCCAGATAAGGAGAAAGACCACTCTTAATTCAAAATAGTAATTCATTTTGTGAAAGGTAAAATTACATTATTTCTTCTTTCCTGAATTGGATTAAATAGCATAGCAGGCATGACTCTCTGGCCTTTTTGTTGCCAGCCAGATAAGGAGAAAGACAACTGTCAATTGAAAATAGTAATGCATTTTGAGAAAGGTAAAATTACATTTCTTCCTTCCTGAATTGGATTAAATAGCATAGCATGCATGACTCTCTGGCCTTTTTGTTGCCAGCCAGATAAGGAGAAAGACAATTCTTAATTCAAAATATTAATTCATTTTGAGAAAGGTAAAATTACATTTCTTCCTTCCTGAATTGGATTAAATAGCATAACAGGCACGACTCTTTGGCCTTTTTCCTTGCCAGCCAGATAAGGAGAAAGACAACTCTTAATTCAAAATTGTAATGCATTTTTAGAAAGCTAAATTTACATTATTTCTTCCTTCCTGAATTGGATTAAATAGCATAGCAGGCACGACCCTCTGGCCTTTTTGTTGCCAGCCAGATAAGGAGGAAGACAACTCTTAATTCAAAATTGTAATTCATTTTGAGTAAGTCATAAATCCATCTCTTCTCCCATTTAATTTGGATTAAATTGCAGGGTAGACTCTGTTCTCTAGCCTTGGTTGGCAATCAGTTTAGGAGAAGGGTAACTATGAATTTAAAACTATGGAGAAAGCAGAAGTAAACCACTCCACTCTATTTTCCAAGAAAAAAATAACATTGCTCAGTCCTGAAGAGACATGACTATTAAACAGGAGGAATTGAAACAAATGGCACTTTTCTCAGTGTTTTGAATGATCATGTCATTTTAATTAATTGCTATTGGTTTGACAATGGTATGGATTTTATTCTATTGGCATTTCTTGAAATATTTTGAAAGGAAAATATTTTTACAAATACTAAATGACATGACTAGATTATCTTATAATATTTGATTTTTTTCTTTTTAATTTCTTTTTAATATTTGGAATTAAAATTTGTCATGAAATAATTTTATTTTGGTTAAATAACCCTTACTCTTTTATACATATGTTCATTTCAGTTTTTTAAAAAGCAAAGATTTAATATTCCTCAAGAATATATTGATGGAACAATACACTGCAAAGAACGCTACACAGTCCTATTGATGCAAACGATCTACACACATTTAACTGACAGAAAGTAAGTATACATACATAGAGACATGCATACTGAGAAGTGTATCTATATATGTCTATAATAATCAAAAGGAAAGTTTTTTGTTAATTAAGAAAGAATAAAATGTGCAACTGATTTTTAAATTTATGTGTTTCCATGTCTATTTATGTGTATGTATTTGTATGTGTGTATGTGCAAAACTGAGAAAGTGAGATAGAGAGCACTATGTATATTTTCTATTGTTATATATGATGCTAATTTATATATTTGTACTTGTATAAAATTAATTCTTTCTCATACAGTTATTGAAACTAAGGAATGTACTAATTGGTTTAATGATATTATTTAACAAGAAATATTATTGCATGGCTGAAAAGCAAATAGTACACTTATTTGAAAAATATAAATTACATTTCAAATATTTGAAACTGAATGTACTTAATAATGTGAAACCAAGCCATATCATTGAAATTATCAAAATTATATGTTCTGGTGTTATAGATATCAAAATTGTGTATGTAGTGTTATAAAATGTATCAAAAATTATGTATGTGTTGTTATAGAAATTATCAAAATTATGTATGTAGTTTTATAGAAATTATTAAAATTATGAATGTAGTACTATAGAAATTATCAAAATTATTTAAAATTACAAGTTTAAACTTCATGTCTGTTTTAAAACAATTTTTTAATTGCAAGTAATATTCAAAGTTTCCTTTGTCCAAAAATATATTGGCACACTTAGACCTTTATGCCTGTAAAAAAACACCCGGGATATCAAAAGGATGTTTTTTCCATTGACATGCCTATTATTTTAACTATTATCCATCCTCAGCAATGTTTGTTGTTTTAAAAAGTGATTATTAAAGTTGTAATAAAACCTAAACATATGATAAAAGTGAATTTATACATTTAACACAAAAATATTAAATACTATTTACTTATTAGATTGTTTACTTACAATAATAATTTTGTTTACAACATTCTAAAAACTAACACAATTAAAACTAATACAATACAATATTTATCATTTACCAGTTTATAAAGAAATATGAAAGCATTTTTATTCATAAATTACTAAACATTTACTAAATTATTAAAATATATGAACCGACTATAAAGAAATCTTTATTATTTACCATTTTATAAAGTTTTAATTGATTGACAATCAGCTGATGCTTTGCCAATCATTCCAATAAACAATATAACAAATAAATAGTGTTTATTATTTTTATTATAAATGCTCATGAACAAAGAAAATGTATCAATTCACTTTCATATATTTAGACTTTATTCAAATTCTAATCATTACTTTTTAAAAGAATAAATATTGCTGAGTAGTGAAGATAGTTAAAATAATTTTTTTGTGGGCATGAAGGTAAAAGTTTGTAAATATATTTATATTCATGAGATAGCAATAGTTTATAATAATGTCTATAAAATATGAATTTAGCGATCAAATAAAATAGCCATAAATTAACCTGGCTTCATATTTATGAAACATAATCCATTAATATTGGAATTCTTACCTGGAATATGCAAATAAGTACGAATTTAACAAGCACTGATGTACCAAATGGCCAAATTTTGATTATCTTCCTCACTATTATAAAGGGTTAAAATGTCTATTTCAAAGAGGAACCAAATTTGAATTCAAAATTGAATGCATAAAGTGTCAACACGATAGGATTAGAAGTGAGATGTCATCTTTTGTTCATCTGTTGATGATAGTCCTCTAATCGCTATACATTACTCAACAATGATCATGACCATATAATTGAATCAAAAATTTTGTATGGAAAAATGTATTAATTTATTGATTTTAGTACAGCCATTCATTCAACAAGGCATTTATATCATTGCATGAACAAAACATGTTAGCAAGGAGCATAATAAGCATTATTTTATTACCCAAATAGAATACATTATATAGCAGATTCTATATTATAATTAAAATAGTATCTATAATAATATCTGATATCTTACCTTATAAACTCTGGAGTCTGTCTATATTTCTGAGATGAGGTATTATGTACATTAATAACAATATTTGGACTATTGTCCTCATCTTTGTTGCCATATTTATCACAATGTTTCGGCCGTTGTAAGCTCCAGCCTTCTTCAGGTGGTTGGAATGTCAAACTGAACCCTTTATTTCGCTCACTGGGGTATTTACTTATTAGATTGTTTATTTACAATAATAATTTTGTTTACAACATTGCCACGTGCCATGTTTGATGGATCAGTTATCTCCTGTTAATTTCCCTCTGAAAGTTCTCCACTGCCTTAACCGGGTATTGAACTCACACTCTTTGGGTCCTGTCACTGGATCAAACCAATGCCTTTATCCACTGTGCCTTGTGTCCTTGAGGACTGGGTATGAATTTCTGGGTATTATAAACCTAATGTCTTCAGCAACCATTTTTACCAGTGCTCATATTGCAATTTTGCTGTTATCATTGCATGTTTTTACCAGAGCTCATATTGCAACTATGTTGTTATCATTGCTTTTCTCTGGCACTCCTTATTACTGGTTCCCATATTGTATTTATTTCTATGCTTTGTCGGCTCAGGAGATTTTTGTGGCCTAGCATATGTGCTGATTCCTTAAGTTTACGAATTTTCCAATGGTATTCCTTGTCAATGATCTCAACATGATCCCACAGAGGGCGGTGATTTCCCTTCTCTCTCCATATATGGTCAGCCACGCCTGATTTTTCTACTTCCCCTCATGTTACAGGTTTCTGGTGTTCTTGAAGCCTTACCATGCCTATCTCTCATGTCATGTTCTCCTCTATGGGGGTTTTACTCAGGAGAGATATCTGCGAAAAATATAAATAATGCTTATAAACTCTAAATACTATTATACATTGATTCATTCAGTTTCCTCATCTTTGTTGTCTTTATTATAACATTTTGGTCACTGTACCCTCAGGCCATCTTTCTATCTGAATTTCTCAGATGAGGTGTTCTTACTATTATACATTGATTCATTCAGACCAGTTTCCTCATCTTTGTTGTCTTTACTATAACATTTTGGTCACTCTACCCTCAGGCCTCCTTTCTATCTGAATTTCTCAGATGAGGTGTTCTTACTATTATACATTGATTCATTCAGACCAGTTTCCTCATCTTTGTTGTCTTTATTTTAACATTTTGGTCACACTACCCTCAGGCCTTCTTTCTATCTGAATTTCTCAGATGAGGTGTTCTTACTATTATACATTGATTCATTCAGACCAGTTTCCTCATCTTTGTTGTCTTTACTATAACATTTTGGTCACTATACCCTCTGGCCTTCTTTCAATCTGAATTTCTGAGATGAAGTTTTCTTACTATTATACATTGATTCATTCAGACCAGTTTCCTCATCTTTGTTGTCTTTATTATAACATTTTGGTCACTGTACCCTCAGGCCTCCTTTCTATCTGAATTTCTGAGATGAAGTTTTCTTACTATTATACATTGATTCATTCAGACCAGTTTCCTCATCTTTGTTGTCTTTACTATAACATTTTGGTCACTATACCCTCAGGCCTCCTTTCTATCTGAATTTCTGAGATGAAGTTTTCTTACTATTATACATTGATTCATTCAGACCAGTTTCCTCATCTTTGTTGTCTTTATTATAACATTTTGGTCACTGTACCCTCAGGCCTTCTTTCTATCTGAATTTCTCAGATGAGGTGTTCTTACTATTATACATTGATTCATTCAGACCAGTTTCCTCATCTTTGTTGTCTTTATTATAACATTTTGGTCACTGTACCCTCAGGCCTTCTTTCTATCTGAATTTCTCAGATGAGGTGTTCTTACTATTATACATTGATTCATTCAGACCAGTTTCCTCATCTTTGTTGTCTTTATTATAACATTTTGGTCACTGTACCCTCAGGCCTCCTTTCTATCTGAATTTCTCAGATGAGGTGTTCTTACTATTATACATTGATTCATTCAGACCAGTTTCCTCATCTTTGTTGTCTTTATTATAACATTTTAGTCACTGTACCCTCAGGCCTTCTTTCTATCTGAATTTCTCACATGAGGTGTTCTTACTATTATACATTGATTCATTCAGACCAGTTTCCTCATCTTTGTTGTCTTTATTATAACATTTTGGTCACACTACCCTCAGGCCTTCTTTCTATCTGAATTTCTCAGATGAGGTGTTCTTACTATTATACATTGATTCATTCAGACCAGTTTCCTCATCTTTGTTGTCTTTATTATAACATTTTAGTCACTGTACCCTCAGGCCTTCTTTCTATCTGAATTTCTCACATGAGGTGTTCTTACTATTATACATTGATTCATTCAGACCAGTTTCCTCATCTTTGTTGTCTTTATTATAACATTTTGGTGACACTACCCTCAGGCCTTCTTTCTATCTGAATTTCTCAGATGAGGTGTTCTTACTATTATACATTGATTCATTCAGACCAGTTTCCTCATCTTTGTTGTCTTTATTATAACATTTTGGTCACTGTAACCTCTGGTCTTCTTTCTATCTGAATTTCTCAGATGAGGTGTTCTTACTATTATACATTGATTCATTCAGACCAGTTTCCTCATCTTTGTTGTCTTTATTATAACATTTTGGTCACTGTACCCTCAGGTCTTCTTTCTATCTGAATTTCTCAGATGAGGTGTTCTTACTATTATACATTGATTCATTCAGACCAGTTTCCTCATCTTTGTTGTCTTTATTATAACATTTTGGTCACTGTACCCTCAGGTCTTCTTTCTATCTGAATTTCTCAAATGAGGTGTTCTTACTATTATACATTGATTCATTCAGACCAGTTTCCTCATCTTTGTTGTCTTTATTATAACATTTTGGTCACTGTACCCTCAGGTCTTCTTTCTATCTGAATTTCTCAGATGAGGTGTTCTTACTATTATACATTGATTCATTCAGACCAGTTTCCTCATCTTTGTTGTCTTTATTATAACATTTTTGGTCACTGTAACCTCTGGTCTTCTTTCTATCTGAATTTCTCAGATGAGGTGTTCTTACTATTATA